TGGTAAGTGCTCTTGAACAGACGACTGAGACTCCAGAGCTTGTATGGACACCAGCCATGGCGGCTTCTTTGGCGGCACAAGTTGCAACAATGGCATCCGATGTTTACCAGGAGCAGATGAAAGGTCGTGTTTTTGATTGGGATGTACCTGAACAAGCCTCTACCCAACAGGAACTCAGAGATGAACCTCAGGTTGGTATATATTGCATTGCTATTGCTATTGCTATTGCTATTTCTCATTTAATTTTATTTTGTACTAACTGAAGGCTGATGTGAAATTAAATAGGTTGGAGGAATCTATGTAAGGTTATTCTTGAAAGATCCGAAGTTCCCACTGAGAAATCCGAAAAGATTCCTGGAAGGATTACTGGATCAATATCTTTCATCGATTGCAGCCACACATCATGACATTCATGGGCCGGATCCAGAACTCCCGCTGCTGTTATCTGCTGCTTTGGTATCGTTACTGCGGGTCCACCCTGCACTGGCGGATCATGTGGGGTACCTTGGCTATGTCCCCAAATTATTGTCAGCAGTAGCCTTTGAAGCAAGGCGTGAGATGACCATGTCATCAGAAGAAGAATCAACAAGGGCGGATGAGAATCCATCACAAACACCTCAAGAACTTGTCCGCCTCAGCTGCTTACGTGTCCTACATCAGCTTGCTGCTAGCACAACATGTGCAGAAGCCATGGCTGCTACTAGTGTTGGGACAACTCAGGTCTCTCTCTCTCTCTCTCTCTCTCTCTCTCTCTCTCTCTCTCTCTTTTATTTTTCTTTTACAGTCTAGAAAAGAAACAACCTTTATCCAGATACACATCATTATTTACCTATGTTAGGAGGAAGGGCTTACTTACTTTTTCATTTTTTTTTCTAAATAAATTACAGGTGGTTCCACTGTTAATGAAAGCTATTGGATGGCAAGGTGGAAGTATACTAGCTCTTGAGACACTAAAACGTGTGGTGGTTGCTGGAAATAGGGCACGGGATGCACTTGTTGCACAAGGTCTTAGGTCAGTAATCATGTCATGTGTAAAAAAGCATTAAACTTCTAATCTCTAAAAATAAAATGAAAAGAACAAACACAGAAGAAACTTTCCTTTTCTAGATAAAGACATACTTTAAGGACTTGACTATTATTATTTTCTCTAGTGTAAAGAAACCATGAAAAAAGCACAGTGTGTACTTTCACCATTTTATTGATTTAGCCACTGAAGTATTATTTTTTTAATAATTATTATTAGGTTTAATGTCATATATGTTTTTTACTTGAAGTTGTCAGTCTTTGTACTGGTTGGAAATTATCTTTTCTTTATTTTTTTATGTACAATTAAAATGATAGTGACAAATCATGGACATGGGACATGGTTGATTACCCATATGTGACTAATGACCTTAATCCTTATTATAATAATAGTTGAATGGCTAAATCGGTAAAAGTAAACAGCTGGATGGCTAAATGGATAAAAACAATAAATAAGAATGTTTTTTTTTCTAAGTATAGAAAATAGTTAAGCGGGTGTAAAATCTAATATAAAGTGAAATAATGATGTGTTGTTGTAGGGTTGGGCTGATTGAAGTGCTGCTTGGGCTTCTTGACTGGAGAGCAGGAGGGCGAAATGGACTTTGTTCTCAAATGAAATGGAATGAAAACGAAGCATCCATCGGTCGGGTGCTTGCAATTGAGGTTATCTATCTCAATTCTCAAATCAATAATTTTCTTTTCTTTTTTCAATATTTCATGTTCATTTAGAATTGAAAAAAAAAACAGAAGAAATGTTATTGCGTTTTGACATTTGTATTGGTGTGTATAGGTTTTGCATGCATTTGCAACAGAAGGAGCACACTGCACTAAAGTTCGCGACATACTAGATTCCTCTGAAGTAAGTCAAAATACTTTTATGTATGTGTGTGTATGGTATGTATGGCATGGGCATGATTAGTTATAAAATTTGGTGGCAGGTATGGGCAGCATATAAAGACCAAAAGCATGACCTTTTCCTTCCTTCAAATGCTCAAATAGCAAGTGCTGGGATTGCTGGACTCATCGAACACGCCTCGTCATCAAGGCTTACTTATTCCCTAACTGCACCACCACCGCACCCTAACTCCTCAACTAAATCTCCTACTTCTGAGTCAAATGGGCTGTCATGACCATAGGAGGCTACTTTTAAAAAGCTTGAAAACTCTTTGATAATGTAAGGACTAAGGAGAGCATAACGATGTTTTTGACCAAGCAACAAATAACAGGTCATATTGTTTCCTTGTATAGCCACCCCATTGTACAGTTTTCTCTCTCTCTCTCTGTCTTTCCTGAGATGAACCTAAGAGAATTAATGGTTTGTGTAAAGAACCTTTATATCAACTGTTTTTTATTTTTTAATATTTTTGCAATAGGTAGGTGAGAGGTGATTTTGGTTTTCATGTATCTGACATTGGTTTTGTTTGTGTCGTGTGTACGTATGCTAAGTTGCTTTCCTTTTTCTCTTGGGCTTTTTATGTATAGTTTATACATGATATAAAAGGGTATATGGCCCCCAGCTTTCTCTCCAACATGTGAAAAGGTTTATTGCTCTGTGAAGTAGGGATGTGGTCTGAACTGGTTATGGAGGTGCGACTGATAGACCCCAACATAATCGTCTTGGACCCGTTCAGTCTTTAGCCAAACGCCTTGGTTGAGACTCGTCTTGGACCTTTTTTTTTTTATTTTTATTTTTATTTTTTATTGGTCTGACAGTCTTTGGATTCAGCTTCGGGTATTCTTTTCCGGTTTTGATTACAGTCTTATTAGGTGGTTTTGTTTTACAACATTGATAATATAAACAATTTCAGAAGATGTTTTAGCATTACATAACTCGTAAAACTATAACATATCATTTAAACAACACATTTCAAGGGAAATTCTTCTAATTATAGATAGCATTATCGTATGTCATATGTGGGTGTGCTGTAACAATCTTTTAAGTTTAAATAAAATGTAGAAATTTTTACAAGTATTTTAAAGAAAAGCTGTTGATCTGAGTCTGTATGAACTATGAAGAAGTTATTATTAGCATAGCATTTATGTTGACACATCCCTTGATTATTGGGATATTAGTTGTAATCAATCCCTTGATTATTGTGATATTTGTTGTAACTAAGGCTATCTAAGCCATGATCATATTAATAAAATGCAAATGATTATATTTAATAACATGATATCAGATCTTTAGGTTAAACCTTATGTTGCTGATCACAACTATTTGTCGCCCACCTTCTCTAGTTGTTGTTGGAGTGCATTGTCTGTTTTTTTTTTTTCTTTATCTCCCTCTCTTTTAATCTTATATGGGTCTTTGAAGTAAAGGGTCATGTTGAGGGTAAAGCACATTACTGAAATATGAAAAATGAGAGAAACACAGCCGTGCTTCTGGGTTGAACACTACAAGACTTTAGTTTAATGAAGTAGATTGCTATTTTAAGATGTTTTGGCCAAAATACAGATCTTGGTTCAAAACATGGTCATGTAACCAAGTTGAGGTCCGTATATTATGTGCTAATTCGACCATTACTTCCTCATTTCAACCATACACCGTTTGGGAGCTAAAGAGAGGCAATTCTCAGACCGAGAAATTATAACTTTATCCTACGGTTTCTAAGAGAAATGAGAATCAAAGCTTCTGCTGCTTGAGTTGAAGGTAATCACTTCTTATTGTAAGCTTTGAAGTGTTTTAATGGTAGAATTGAACACTTTTCCCATTTGCGATACATGGCATAACACTAATAGTTTTGATCAAATGAAATCTTTAAAAGATTAAGTATAAGTTGTATATGAATGGAAAGATAAAAGTATGCTATAAGCTTTAGGCTTAATGTTTTAAACTTGTTGATGCTTTGATATGTTAATCTACTATAATAAATGAAGGTTTTTTTTGCCACATGTCCTCTTCTCCTTCATTTGGATACTTGGCATTTTCTAAAATTTTTAAATTTTCTATTTTTCACTTGTCATTCTATTGGATTTTTCATTTTATTAAATTAAAATTCCAAATTTAATGTGTAATGTAATATATATGTAAAGTATTTATTAGAAAGGGTTTATATATGTAATGTATTCAATACATTAAAGTTTCAATAATTTTAATAATTCAAATTTTTTTTTTTTCCATTTTTCTTATAAATTCAAACTTTTTGTTAAAATTTTATATTTTTTTTAACTAAACACGTGTAATACATAGGTCTCACACCTAGTTGTTTATATTATGCAAATTGATATTGTATGCTATATATAGAGCATGAGATTTATATGGAAACAAGATTCCACGTCACTTTTTGACATCCCTAGTGATTGGAAGTCGGATTTATGTCTACTTAATATCCAAAGACTGTGGACTGAAATAATGCTAGCCTTCTTCCTTGTAAACATATAGACTTCTATAACTTCGCCAACTATTGTTTTGGAATTCATCTACTCACTAAATATTATACTCTCATGCTACATTAACAAATAAATTGCTAAACCTCAATAACAATAACGGGAAGCTTAAATATTTTTGCAAGTATAGTACATCAAAAAAACATAAAAATAACTACAAAATACATATAAAAGACGGAGGAACAAGATTTTCGCAGGTTGATCTCAATGTTCATTTTACAATTATAATACAACATAAAGTAAAAATATTACATCAAACGTATAAAATATACTACAGACGGAAAAACTTACTGTAAGTGGTAAATTGTTGCTTTGTTCCATTTTCTTCAGAGAGTTTCAGTGGATGCAAAATGAAAGTGTAAAAAAAGAATAAAAAATGATTTTTTTAAAACTTATATAAGGGGAGGGTGGAGGATCACATGCATGCGCATTTTTTCTCAGTCTATTTGATGATTTTGCAGATGCGATCTGTGAAATCAAATTCGTGCCTATTTTTTAAAATATTCTAACTTTTGTTTAGATCTTGAAAACTGGTAAATGAGATTGACACAACTTTTTTTTTTTTTTTTTTTTTTTTTTTTTTTTTTTTTCTCTCTTAAAATAATCTAATTTTTATTTAGATGGTGATGACATACCGTGCGATACCATACCACGACATCGACTAACGAGACCCAAAGGCTAATGCAACAAGTTCGTGAGTCCAAACTCATAACGCATGTGGGACCCACAACAGCTGACACTTGACACATTGGAAAAATGTACGTTTATTACACATTTAATTCGATTCAATTCATCTGTACATACCTAACTTGGTAAACAGTAAATAAAAAGACACAGACAATCATATTTAACATTTTAACTCAACTCAACAGAATCTCATCCGATTACACCAACAACATAACGTTCAAGTTAGTTAAATTCCTTTGATTTTTCATGCTTGTTGCTGATTCGAGTCTTCTGTAGATGAATTGTCGTTACTACCCCCGATCTCAAACTTGCATAATGGACACGATGCGTTGATCTTCAGCCATTTGTCTACACATTGTATATGGAAGAAATGCGTGCAAGGAAGCTCTCTCAACAAATCATTATCCGCATATTTTGCCAGACATATGCAACAAACCTATCCACCATTTATCGGTTAAACAAAAGGGCAAAATGGTCATTTACTCACATTCACACATTTCATTATGCAACCACCTACATCACTCGCCCTTCTTTTTTTTTTTTTCTTTCTCTCAAATCCTTTCATGATAAAACTGATGAATATATTGAGAATGATTTTTTTTGACATGTAAGGGTAAAATGGTCATTTAGTCTCGTAACAAAACTGTGGAGTGATAAGTTAGAAGAACTTACAGCATCTTCCCCAGAAATGACACGTTCTTTTTCAGTTCCTGCTGCTAGAATCCCACCTTCATCAACACCTGAATCATCATCTTTCATCATCTCATTATTATTATTATTATTATTATTATTATTATTATTATTATTTGTGTTTTTCTTTAGTTTAAATTTGTGTGTTGGTAAAGCACTGATGGAATCTTCACTTGCTCCTCTCATTTGATTCATATCCTCACGAACACCAAGGATTGAAATGATACAAGGCAAACAGCAACATATCATTCCACATAAAATGAAAGGCATCGCGTATCCAATACAGCTAAACGTAAGAAACACTATACATAGCCTGCAATTGATCAACAAACAGCACCACTCATTTGTTATTTCAAGGGTAAAATCGTCATTGTTTCACTCATGTTAAAGTACCTGTACAAATTGGGAGCATCAGCAGAGGATGAATGTCCTCCAAATATCCAGACATTTCCAACTACAAACCATACAGCAAAGAAGCAATCTAAAGCCATTTTGAAATGGTCCACAAGCATACTAAGCCTGTTAACAATTAATTGAATTTGAATCACATTTATTGCTAATGATATAATAAAGAAATAAAATGATGCTATGATTACCTGGCATTGGACCCCACATTAAGACCATTCCAAGTGTCTGGAGATGTGGGTGGATGTGTTTCCTCTTCTAAAGAACGAGCAAAGGAGATTGTGATATAAGAATTTGGTTCTGGTGTATGGTTAGTTTCAGAAGGTGGTTGTCTAGCTTGATTTGACCCTGCTTCAGTAGCTTGATTTCTATGGAGATATCGCCAGTATAAAAATGGAAGACTTGCAACACATCCAGCTGCATACCCTACAATCCAAGCAAACAATGGAGTCTGTGGGTTCTCCTTTTGTGATATACATAAGACAACAATGGATGCAATGATTTGCCCCAAAGTGAACACTAATTCGATTGAAATCCATAGCAGTGTGTCGAATGGGCTCCATCTTCGCCTCCCAAACCCTTCTCCTCTCCTTCCAACTCCATTTGATGTTGAGCCACTGGATGATGATCGGATCAGTTGAGAAGTGGAAGCTCTAGGGCTGTTTGATAAGCCATGAGAAAGAGAAGTACTTGATGCATTTGATGAGGAAGAAGCATCGTCGTCATCATCATCATGGCCTCTTTCCAAATCGATTATATGATCGTTTTCATGGTGTACTCGGCTCTCAATGAGCAAAGGGAAACTGTCTGTTGCATGGTCGATGTTCTGTTCTTCGGGGGTTACAGTTACAGCCATTCTAGTTTGGTGAAAGTTAGGGAGGAAACAATCGCATAATTGGCGCTATCAACAACAGATGCTTTAGTCTCCTTCACGATTCCTGCAATATGTAAGCTGGATTGAATGTTATACCTTCTCCTTCGATGATAAATTTCATGAAAAGGGTAAAACAAAGACACACGCAACTTGAATTCAGCTGAATAAACATCACGGCTTCGATTTTAAGCCATAAATTTAATCGTATTCACCAACGAAGCTAGAAAAATCGAACTAAAACTCAACTTATCCATCATCGAAATCTTCAATATCGCATCAATTTTGTTAGGATTACAGGAAACCGATGATAAATTAACAACCGATGAATAACCTAAAATCGTAAGACTCAAACGAAAAACCTTTAACGAAATTTCACCAACATCATAAAGAATAACAACAAGAATCCAACGATCAGTTCATATACCAATTCCGTATCAGAATGAAATCCACAAGATGCGATAATGAAATTCAAAACCAAGAAATTGAAGAGCAGATTACAAAGAAACGGTACGAAATTGAACAAAAGAATCTTTCAAAAGGCAGGGTTAGGAATTAAAGAAAACGTACCAGTGATTTGAGGTCAATTAAAAGATTTTTGTAGAAAAAATGACCTTAGTTGCGGTTAAATTCTCTTTTTATTTTCTTCCCCAAGAAAGAATCACAGCTTTTATCCCCTGTTTGTTGAGAAAACCGGTCAAAAGGGGGAATTTTGAGCAAAAGTCAAACGTTCATGCCCCAAAGGCCCAACCCTTCGATCAATATTTCCGTCCCCGCCTAACAAAGTTATTTCAATATGATACGATTATTTCTAGACAAAAATACAAATTTGGTCCAGGGGTTTGTGATTTTAAGTGATTCGGTCCTCATGTTTTAAAAAATGTAAATTTAGTTATTTGAGGCAATTTTCTTGTGGTTTTGGTCCCTAAAAATAACATTCATTTAACTTTTTTTGTTAAATTTTGTGAAATGACAATTTTAGCGCCTTTTATATATAAAATAATTTATTTATCTATTATGAAAATCAAATAATGGACCAAAGCGCCTTTGACCTAGCGGTAAAGAGTGCTAATCTCATTTGAGATGTCATTGGTTCAAGTCTCACCGGAGACATAGGTGGGAGACATAGATGGTAGTTAGGAGTAGATTGGTTTGTCATTTCAAAATAAAAATAAAAAATGGGCCCAACAAAAACCTAATGCAACCCATATATCTCTCTTACATCTTCTTCTTCGACTTAACCGTTCAACATTTACCCCTCTTATCATCACTTCCGCTTCACTTTCTCTAGATCTTTCCAGAGATGTATTCGTTCCCTTTGGCCCTAATACCTTCTAACACTGAAATATTTTCAAGCTCAACAAGAAGCTTGTTCACAATCGGCTAGAAATCATCCTCACATAAAAACAATTATGATTTTCATCAAGAATTTCTCCTTCATAAAAATGGAAGAAATGTTTGAATGATGGGTTTTGATTTGTAATTAACATAAGGTTGCAACAACTAAGCATGCGTAGGTGAAGAGTATCTTTTTATTCGACTCCTCATCTTCTTTGTTGCACGATTTTGGAAATAAGTAAAGAGTGCGATTTTGATTACATATTGGAGATTCTTTAACTCCATCAGAAAGTGATAGTCTCGAATAGGCCTTTAGGGAAGATTTCGATCCTAAAACTGAACTGATACATTGAAAACCGAAAATGAGGAAATATGGAAACCGCAAACCAAACTGAAAATACCGGTTGAGTTCTGGTTCTGATTTTTCAACTCTAGAACTGTAATGAATCGAACTTCTAAAGTACATTGTCATTTCCTACATTTAAGGTAGCATTTTCATATTATCTAGTGGTTTAATTTACCATTACAATGTCATTGATATAAAATTAAAAACATTGTTGAGAAAAAACCAACAACCCATATTTACGACTGTGTAAATAAATAATTTCTTAACTATTTTAACTATTTTTTAAGACTAAATTGTATCCAAGACAGAGGGATACAACATGGAAAAAAATCAGTTCATTCAATGTTCGTATGAAGGAGTTATGATCGTTAAAAGTTGGGAAAAATTATAAACAATGTTGATAAAGAACATACAAGCATAATACCCTTTGTTTAGGAGTTGTGCAACACAACTATTTCTTAACCAATTTACGTGTTATTTGAGCCTAAATTGTAGCCAAACACAGGGCTAAAACTTGGTAAAAAATCATCTAATTCCGAGCTTGTATGAAAGAGTTACGGTCGTTCAAAGTTGCAAAAAAATTATAAACAATGCTGAGAAAAAACATACAACCCTAATAGCCCCTATTTAGAGCTATGTAACTCGGCTATTTTTTAACTAATTCAACTATTTTGTAGCCTAAATTTTAGCCATATAGAACATGGGAAATAATATGGTTAGTCGAAGCTTGTATGAATGAGTTATGGTTATTTAAAACTGAGCAAAAATTATAAACAATGTTGAAAAAACCCCTTCAAATTTGCGCCCAATTTAGGCTCGGTTCGATTTATACTTGAGAACCGAAATCCAAGAACCAATTTCCCTTTACGGTCCTAAAACATAAAAACCCAAAATCTGTTGGATCTATATGCTTAATGTAACAACCCAAAAACCAGGATCAAATTCTTCATTTTAAATAAACACAAAAGTTACAATCGTCACATTGTTCCAAAACTATTCATTAATAATAATGTCAAAACATCAAAGTAAAATGTCAAATTGCGGAAAACTAGTGAGGAATGAATGTGTAACATCCATAAAATTCATGCCAACTTTAAATTTTTTAAAACATTTTCAAAACCAAGATCATTACAAAACATGTTTTCAAAATAGTATAATGTCAGAGTATCCCAGAATCAAATCATAAAACATGAAATATGAGGAGCTGTACGATCACTCCTTCGCCTTCCTGCGATCATTAGAGGTACCTGAAACATAATCAATAACTGTAAGCCCGAAGCTTAGTGAGTTTTCCCAATATACCAACGACAAACAAATATAACAATATCATATAAACATATAAGCAACAACATGCATAATAAGCCATCAGTCTGACTGGACCGCCTCCCCAGGACCTCAGTCTATCTGGACCGCTCTCCGAGCCTTCGACACGTCTGGACCGCCCTCTCAGGGCCTTCAGCATATCTAGACTGCACACATCAGAACCCGCCTCAACCTTTTCCCCAGACCAACAAACATGTGTACATACATATAAACAAGTAAAGATGCAGATCTAACCGATCACTAACATAGCAACCATCCTATAATTTGAATAGGAAAATTTTGTAGTTTGATGGTTCATAGTATGTTGCATTTATTTGAAAGACATAGATCCTTCTTAGGTTGCATGTGTCCTAATCATTTAATTGCTAAATGTTTTTCCACTTAGAGCATTGTTTTTATAACCTTCATAAACCATCAGTGGTATCGGAGCCTATGACTATCTTTCATGTGATTGCACATTGGTGAATCGATCAAAACTAAAATTTTTGAATTAATCGCATCTCACGACGTGAGCATTGATGCTAATGGTGTGAGATCTGACCAGTTTAGATTTTTCATAATTATCTTCCTAATCTGTTTTGTTTGGTAATTATCTGCCTTAAATATCTTTCAAATCCGATTTTGCTGAATATTTGATGATAACTAACAAGCCTAAAACTTAGGAGATAAATCTTTGACTTGATTAATTATTTTACTGATTAATATGATTGATTTTTCAAGTGTGTAAATAATTGATTTTGATATTAATTAATCCTAATAATTAGTTTCAAATATTATTTGGTTTACATTAAATTTAAATTAGATAAATTTTCGAAATTATTATAAACCTAGTATTTTTTTGAAAATTTTCTAAAAGATATACCTTATACTATATGTACGATTAAAAGTTTAATAATCACTATATGTGTAGCACCTGGTTCCTGGTACGTGAGTTTTGTCTAAGTATTTTGTGTTTTTGGCCGTGGACTCGGCGAGTTGGAGGCCCGACTCGCCGAGTAGAGATGAGACTTTGGGGGCGCAGTTAAGATGGCGACTCGATGAGTCCATATTATGGACTCGGCGAGTCCGCGCTGTCTGATGAAACCCTAATTTCCAAGGGTTTGCACCCTATTTAAACGACCACTTGCACCCCAACTCCGCCCCATTCACCCTCAGAAGCTCTCCATACGTTCTAGCTCTTGTTCTTGTGAGTTTGAGGCATTTTAGTGTGTGTTCTTGAAGATTTTGAGAAGGAAGTGGAGTAGATCAAGAGGAAGGGAAGGAAGCCAAGCATCTTAGTGTTCTCTCAGTGATTTCTTTGAGGTAAAACTCATTTTCCCCCTGTCTCTATGCTTGTTACTCCATTAAAGTCTTTCTTGAGCCCTTCCCCAAGCTTGTATGTGCATTATAATTCGTAATAAGCTGATTGGCCTCTAGATCTAGGCATGGTTGAGCTCCAGGAGCTCAGATCTACTGCCTTTATGGACCCATGTTGCATGAAGACCTTAGATCTACTCTTTTGGTGCATTTTGAGCCCTAAAACCCTCATGGATGAATATTTTGTTGGATTAATGTCTAAGTCCATAACTATAATTGGTAAGACTTGACCCGACCCGGCATGGTCCATTTGGGTTGCATACCATCATGCACTTGGATAGACTAAATGAGAGAAATAAGACACTTATGGTTATTAATATATTATAAGTTCTAGTATATTAATAATAAGAATAATGAGATTATTTAATTAGTATTGATCAAGAATTAATCTATCATTAATTGAGTGATCAAAAGAAGACTAATTAAATATGTGGGTTGATTGTGTAAATCATCCATACTTGTATAGTGGGCTAATGCTCCATCGATTATCTAGTTGGGCCAAAACCCATATGATGCTCCATGGATGCTCCATGGTGTATTTGAACCCATGGATCCAAGGAAATGGAAAGTCATGACAATTAGGGTTTACCCTAATTGTATAACTATATAAGCATCTTATTCTTGAGGAAAATCGGCCACTAGTGAGACTAAGAAAGGGCTAGCCGATTTCATGAAGTGTAGAATTCTCTCTAAGTTATTCTAAGTGTTTTGATGATTGTGAACCATTTGAGGTGTCACACTTGGGGCACTAGGCACTCAAGCTTCATGAAGACAAACACCATCAAAGAGGTATGTATTCTATCTTGTTATATTGATAGTTTTGTATGCTAGTTTAGGATAATACCTTGGATATTCATATTTGCATGTATAATAGAGAAAACATAGATCCAAGGTATTTAGGGTTGCATGTACACTTAGGAGTGTTAGAATGCTCATAACCCAACAGTGGTATCAGAGCCTAGGCTTGTTTTCTTGTTATACTTGCAATGGAAGCTGAAAAATCGAGTTTTGTTGCTGTCTACCCAGCAGACTCGCCGAGTCCATGAAGGGACTCGACGAGTCCAAGGCAAAATGCATCCAACTCGCCGAGTTGTGTTCATGCACTCGACGAGTTGGACCCCAGACAACATATTTTCGAGGTTTTTGGCTAGATTTTTTCAAAGATAGTTGTCAATAGATTCATGTTTTGTATTAGTTTAAAGGTTAGACTAATTACATGAAAAAGTTTGATTTGAATTATCTTGTTCTTATGAGTTGCTTAGATTAATAGAAAAGTTAATTGAAATAGTTGCTTTCAATCCATTTTAATCTAAGAGTTGAGTATAAAATGTGTTTGTGTAACTTGTCCTCAAGTTACATGAAGAGTCACATTAAAGACTCATAAAACTCATAAAGTTGGCAAAGGTTACAAA